CATAGTTCAGATCGGACTTGATTTGGCTGAGATCTGCATCATTTTATTTCTCAAAAAAAATTCCGGTTTTTTTTGTCCCACACTGTATTTAAAATTTATTTTTAATATTTATTAAATAATTAACACTTTTTTTAAGTTTGCAGGCAAATTTGCCTGCTAAACAATTTAAGGATAAACAATATTTATATTTATACAAAATTTTATTTCTATAGTTAATTATTTATTATTTTATAAACTAATTAATTTTATAAATAAATATAACAAATAATAATTATAATAATTATATAAATATATTGTAAAACAAATCTTTAAATAATTTTTTAAAAAAAAACTGAATTTAAAAGCAATTCTAAAGTTTTTTTTATAATTATACTTATTATATTCTTCTGATTTTAAGTAACAACTGTGACTTTTGATAAAAATCCTTAAAAATAAAAATAAGAATCGCCTCTAATTTGAAAAATTTTATCATATTTTATATTTTATTTACATTATCTAGCTAAATCACTATCTTTATCTACAATTCCCTAAGTATAATTCATCATTACAGAGCACAAAAAAAATCCGAAAATAAGTTCTGAATTAAAGCATCATTCTAAAATTTAGTAAATTTTTCCTTTAAAAAGTGATGCTTAAAATTGGTATCTTTAATTACTTTATTATCCATTAATATGAATTTAGTTTATTATTAGTAAGATTAGAACTTGCAAAGTTATATAAAAAAGATTATATCGATCTATACACGTGACACGGTTTGAAATGCACGTGACGTGAAGTTGATCGATAATGTAATACCTAATTATAAAAACACAATGCTTGTACAACCATGCAATTTTATTTTGTACTACATTTCACGTTGGATTCTCATGTCGTAATACATTTCCTTCTTAGGAGATTCCTTTTAGTCTCCTCAAATGATTGGTTGATTGTTTTTGTCACCTCAATTGATTATTTCCTCGAAAAGAGCAAAAAATTTTACCTTTACTTCATACAAACCTTTCGATTTTTCCAACAAAAAAAGTCCCTTAAACACCAAAAGAATTTTTTTGTCCTTATAACAGAGTTATTTATTAATTGACTAACCCATTCGCCTCTCTTTTGACTCACCAACAACTTCATCTCGTGCTTCACATCAATAATGTCTCCAAGTGCAGTTACTTCAACTAACGGTATTGGCATCGCCAACTTACCGAACCAGCGTCATAAAATTGTTGCCAAACGCGGTACCAACTTTACTTTAATGGTTGTTGGTAAGTTTTCTTTGTTTTAACGAGTAAATCATATCTATTCGGGAACAACCCAATTTCACTATTAAATGTTAACTGTTTACCATCAATTATAATTATAATTTGAAACTTTTTTGACATTAAACTAATTTTTTTTTTTTACATTTAATAAGGTGAATCCGGTCTTGGCAAAACAACTTTCATCAATACTCTCTTTACTACTACCATCAAGGAAAAAAAGAACCAAGCAAAACGTCATGCTAAACAAACAGATAAAACGGTTGAAATTGAAATAACAAAAGCTGGTAAGTGCGTTTATAACCATCTAATTTATTAATCTATGGAATTTCTTCATTAATGATTTCGATTCCACGTTGTCCACAGAACTCGAAGAAAAAATGTTCAATGTTAAGCTCACAGTCATTGATACCCCCGGATTTGGCGACTACGTAAATAATAGGGATAGCTGGTTACCTATTGTTGAATTTATTGATGATCAACACGAATCATATATGCGACAAGAACAACAACCACTTCGTAAAGAAAAGTTGGATATGCGTGTTCATTCCTGTCTTTATTTCATTCGCCCAACTGGTCATACGTAAGTTATATGCTTTTCTAAAGCATATTTTAGTTTAATTTCAAATTTCACATGAATTGCTAATTGAATTATTTTATTATTACCAAAATTTATAATTTCGAATAATTGAATACTAATTATATGACTTTTAATTAAAGCTTGAAGCCTTTGGATATCGAAATCATGAAACGTTTAGGTTCTCGTGTAAATTTAATTCCTGTCATTGCCAAGGCTGATACCTTGACACCAAAAGATTTGGAAACATTCAAGAGAAGAGTAAGCCATCAACATTATAATTCTTTTGAGCGCTGCAACATTTTATTTTAAATATAATTCAATTTACAGGTCAGAGAAGTTATTGCTGCTCAAAATATTCAAGTTTACCAATGTCCAGTCGAGAGTGACGATGAAACCAGTACCAAACGCAACATGAATATTATGGTAAATTTATTATTTTTATTTTTTATTTTTTATATGTTATCATTCTAATAGTTTAAATAATCAACTTTATTTAATAATCAGGCTGCTATGCCTTTTGCGATCATTGGTAGTGATCAGGATGTCATTGCCCCTGATGGTCGTAAGGTAAAAGGGCGTCAATACAGTTGGGGTATTGCCGAAGTTGAGAACGAAGACCATTGCGATTTCAAAAAACTTCGTTCTCTTCTTATTAGGTATATAATATTATTGTGTAGGTTCTTTTTATTGGAAATTATATCTTAATCGTAATATTTTATCTCTCATTATAAAGGACGCATATGTTAGATTTGGTTTCCACAACCGAGGAAAATCACTATGAGAATTATCGCCAATCACAAATGGAAACAAGGAAGTTTGGTGAACCCAAGTATGTTTTATTCTTTCTACTAGTTTTTTTATGATTTTGTATTTTACAATTTATTCTAACATTTATGTCCTTATAGACCTAAAAAACTTGATAATCCTAAATTCAAAGAAGAGGAAGAAGCTCTTCGCAAAAGGTTTACCGAACAAGTCAAAAACGAAGAAAACCGTTTCCGACAATGGGAACAACACGTTAGTATTTTTTTTTTTTTAAAAAATAAAATTTTTTTTTCTAGAATTGATATTTTTGTTGCAAATTTTTCTATCATTTGTTAATTATTATAATATATTACATATTTTTTAGCTTATCGCTGAGCGTGATCGTCTTAACAAGGATCTAGAAGCTGAACACTCTCACATTAAATCCTTGGAACAGGAATTGGAACAAATTCAAGTTACACTTTCAAGCAAAGGTGGCAGAAAGTAAAAAAAAAAAGTTATTAGTAAAAATTAACTTTGATATAATTCTTTTCATTAGGTTTTTCATTAGGTTTGTCAATTAGTTCTTTTATTATTGCTATTTTTAAATGAAATTCTTTTTTTTATTATTATTATTATTTAATTTTTTCTTTTAATATTCAAGTAGAAATAAGTAATTTATTTTATTCCTTTATTATTACAATTAGTCAGATGTATTATATCCTATTATGTTAATTTTTTTTTTTTTTTTGTGATGATTATTCCAAAAGTATCTGGTTTAGTTATTTTGGTAATAGAAGCGCAGTTGGCTTGTATTTTATTTGATGATATATTATTATTATACACGGGATTATATTATATTATTAAAATTTCATCCCTTAAATGGTAGAAAAATTCCATGCAAATTTAGAAGGAATTTTCAAACAGTTATTAATGCAAAATTAATTATGTAATTTTTGTTTGATTTTTAATTAAAACAATATAAAATTTCATATAACAATTATTCTTTTAGATAGGTATCAGTTTTAAAAGTTTAATTAAAAATAGTTAATATAAAAAATTTATAAATTTTAAAGTTAAATTGATATATAAAGTAGTTAAATAAATTTGAAATTTATATTTATATAAAATTTAATTCATTTTACAACTTTAATAAATCAATCTTTTTTTTTTAATTTTTAAAATATAAAATTCTTCTTATACAAATAATTTATATAAATTTACATAATATTATATATTATTATTTTATATTATAAATTATATATTTATATAAATTTTTATATAAATTTTTTTTTATAAATTTTAATATTTTATCTTTATGTTTAAAATATTATAATTGTTATAATTTAAATATAACTTTTAAAGTTATAATATAATAATTATAGATTTATTAATTTAAAATGAAGTGAAAACTATATATTTATTATAAAACTGTCCTAATATTTATCTGTTAATAATTGAATTATTGCTGATTAGCTTTTACAATTATATAAAAATCTTAATAAAATAAATATCAATATGAATTTTTGGTTAAAATTATCTTAAATTTAACAACAATTACTATTCTTTAATTTTTAATAAATAATTATATAATTAATAATCTTTTTATTTATAATAATTTAAAATTATTTTTAATTATTATTTAATTATTATGATTTATTTTTATATTAATAATAATAATATTTTTTATTTTAAATTATAATTTAATCACTTATAAATAGAATATTATATTAAATAAATTTAATTTTTATTTTAATATTAAAAATAATTTTACTTCAAAATAATAATAGCAAAATTTTTTGATTAGTATATGATTATTAAAAAAATATATATATATATAAAAATATAATCAGAAAATTTTAGTTATAATTTTAATATAAGTTTAAAATTAAAATTAAATTATATAATATATAATAAATTAATTGTATATATATATATATATTTTTAAATAAACTTTAATAAATATATTATAATAAAGTTTTTATAAACAAATATTATATTATTTTGAAAAAAAAAAAGTTAAAGAAAGTATTTATTATTTATTATATTGAAAATATAAAAGTAATAGATTAGCAATTAAAATATTTAAAATAAAATTTAAATAAATAAAATATTAAAAAAATCAAAAAATCATTAAAAAATATATTTAAAAATATATTAAGAAAGAGAAATATAATTTTCAAAATTTAAATATAAATCTATTTTTATAAGTAATAATATATATATCAATTAATAAAAATATTATATAAAATATATTATTAAAAAGTCATAATTTTATCTAACTATTAATAACTTTAAATCTTAACATTATGATTAAAAAATTTTATAAAAAATATATAATATTTTTTATAAAAATAACAAAGTTTTCTTAAATTTATTCTATATTGAAGAAATCAATATAATTATTCTTAAAATATATTGATTAAATCAACAGAAACTTTTGTATATCTAGAATTAAAAAATTTTAAAATATAAAAATAGCTAAAACAAGAAAGAAAGCATAAAAAAAAGTGATTAGTTTCCTTATTATAACATAAATATTACTATATTTACAAATAAAATATAATTCAAAAAATTTTAAAAAAATATCTAATTTAACAATCATATTAATAAAATCACATGTTAAATAGATTATATTAATTAAAATTAATCTAATGTAATAATCATATGATTGAAAAATTATATGACAGATAGATAGATATATTAATCTTATTGACTTATACAAAAATTTTTCATTATATTTCAGATGATAATATAAATAAGACTTTAATTACTTTTAATTTATTTTTAAATATAAATTTTAACATAATATAATAATTAGTTATAATAAATAATAAATAAATACTATATAGGATGCTATCAGTAAAAAAAAAGAAAATCTACTTTTTAGACAAATATTTTATTGGTTTACTCTATTAATAAAGATCATGTAAACAGAACTGTTTAATAACTAAAATTACTCAAAATTTGTAGATTTTTATCTTTTCTATTGATTGTCTTCTATATAATTGCAACTAATTTTAATATTATTAAAAAATTGAGATATAATTAATTATAATTGATGATAAATAAGTATTATAGAGTTGCAGTTAATTAATTTTCTATTTTTAATAATATTAAATTAATATGATATTTAATAGTAATTTTGTATAATTAGTGAAAAATAATCTAACTATTTTAATAAAGAATTTTAATTGAAAATGCAATGTATATAATTAAAGTAAGAAAATAATAAAAAGTTTTTTATCAAAAAAAATTATTTTTAAAGGAAAATCAGATATAGTATTAAAGAGTTTTACATTCTATAAATACAAAGTTAATTACTATAATTAATTAAATATATTTTTACATTTTTATAATATAGATAATAAATTTATTTTAGATTGCATAGTCTATATTATATTAATAATATTTTATATTTGTATATTAGTATTTAAAATTGAAAAGTTATTTTAACTAATTATTAGTAACATTAATAGTTTAGCCAAAAAAAATTTTATTAATATTTATATAATAATATGCATTAATTTTCTAAATAAAGTTTAATTTCAAAGGCTTTTAGTATAGTAATAATTAGACTTTTTATAAAAAAATTCTTATTTAAATTATTTATATGAAATACATTATAATCTAAAGCTATGATTTAAAACTATAATTTTTTCTTCTTAATCGAACTATATATAATTCAAGTTTTTATATTTCATAAATAGTTTCTTACTTATATATTGTACTTACTATATTAATATTTGCCTACCTAACTATATAAATAGGAATATTGTTTTTTTTTTAATTCAATTTTTTCTATAAGAATATTACTTAATATTAGTGATTGTTAATTGTAGATACTAAATTTTTTATCAACAACAATAGAAGCTAGTAAATTATTAATATATCCTTTAGTTAAATTAGTTATATGTTTAAGGTTGCTAGACGAAATCTAGAGGTTTTGCAAGTTATCTAAATGAAAAAAGATAAATTTAGTGAAATTATATTAAAACTTTATTAAAAAATCTGCGAAATTCTAAAAAAGGTAAAACTATATCAAAGCTTATAAAAATGTGAAACTATATCAAAACCTTAGTAAAATTTAGCAAAATTATAGTTTAGATGTTTTGCCAAATCCAAAATAAGTTTAGACAAGCAACCTTACATATGTCTAATATTAAATATGAGCATTAAAGGTATAATTGAATTAACATCTTTGATATTATTAGAAATTTTAATAGGTTCAAAAAAATATTTTTAAATACTATATAACTATAATAAAATCTTTTGAATTTATGTAGCATTTCCTATCAGAATTATTGACTAAAGCTATGGCAACATTAACTCCATAAGATTTATTATTAATGTTATAATTACTATATTTATACATTACAAATATATTAAGTTCTATCTTTTTAATATTAAGCTTTTCTAACTGCTTTTTTAATTTTTTATTTTATCGAATCTATACTTAATTTCTTCTTTAATTTTATTTATAAATTATGCTATTTTTAATAGATCTTTTTCTATTTTTATTTTCATTTAGTAGTACTTTCATAATTACTATAAATTAGCTATTTAATACTATTTTTATTTCAGAACTATATTTTAAATAAAAAATGTAATTATTGCTTAATAAATATATATTATTACTTAAATTATTTTTATTTTCTATAAAAGTTTCTAAAGTTCTAACTCAAATATTGTAAAAAGTAATTTTATTATTACAAATAAAAGAAACACTTAACTTATACTTTTAGTAATATATATTTTGAATTACATATGAATTATAAAAACCCTTATGCATATCTAATTTTATATTATAAATACTTTGAAAAAAAAATTTACTACTTATTAAAATTATATTTTTACAAATAATATAAAAAATAATAGCTAATGTATTTTATAAATTCCTTTAAATATTTTTTAGTCTAAACTGATAGCATTAAAAGTTTTTATGTTAAATTTGATTTTAAAAGTCAAATCAGAACTTAGAAATATATATATAAAGGTAAAATTAAATGATATTGTTACCAGGTTTATTTTTAGTTATCTTAACGTTTAAGTTAAAAGGCTGTAGCAGTTGATTCTATACGTTGAAGTTTCTGATTTTAGGATTTTCTCTAAGTTCTACAAATATCTGTTATACTTAAATTAACTTAGCAATTTATTATATCTTAGAATTTAAGATATATTTAATCGAATTCATAATGATAAACTTAATAGCAAGTTAATCTAAGGTATTATAACAAATCTTAGATAAGGAACAACTTGAAGGAAAAAGTAAATTTGTATAAATTTAAATTGATTCTTTTATTTATAATACTAAAACTCGTAGAAGAGTTAATTTACAACTGAAACAAAAAGCTATTCTATTTATATAAAATGAATTTGCTATAGCTAATTACTTTTTACATTATAACTATTTTAGTAAATTTCAGTTATAAAATAATAATACAAGATAGTAAGATAAAGATATAAAATATAAGATAAATAATAATGATAATAAAATAAAAGAAATAA